GCAGGAATGGTTTATTGGTTTCCTCTCTGGCTCTCAATGAAGTTATGTCACAAAGAATGCAAGAATGATTCGCTTTCTTTGTGAACCCTCTGAGGTTCTGTGCTTCTCAGAAGGGCTGCATGATGTGAAATACAGGAAAAGACTTTTTTGCTTCTTCCCTGAAGCACGCTTGCTCTTTCTCTGTAGCCCAAAGAATATATAACCACTTTAGGGACTGTGGTACTTGTACACATGAGTATGACGAACCCATGTGTCATCCTGTGGATGTCATAGCATCATACACATTCAGGAGAACCAAATGTGATTACGTATCTCCTCCAAGAAACACCAAGGTGTGCCATCATTAAGCAAAGTTCAATAGCTCATTTATCAAAGAAACAAGATATGAGACCCTGGTTACAGGAACTAGCAAATGTAATTCTTGCAGAATTATTTAACGGGAATATAGTGCTAAGTACCTGCTAATCATAAAAAGCCAAGGACTGAGAACTGGTGCTAGTCAAAGACAGGGTGAGATACCTAATTTGTGGGCCATGTTGATACAGTAGAAACCTGATCAAAAATTATTTCCTGTAGTTTTTTAACCTTTATTGATATGTGACTTTCCGTGATACCATTAGCGGTGTGCAGTCCAGCTCCTGAGGAACTGAACACCAGTTGCAGTGTTGCATCCTGCAGTCTAAGATACGTAGAGGTGAATCACTGTGCTGTTTGCCTCAACTTTAGACTTATTTTTCAAATAATCTTTAAGTGATTGGTGTTGAAAGGGACCTAAGCTTTTTGCTATAAAATTAAAAGTTACAACATCCCTTACACTTGAATAAAGCCTCCTACAAACTGACTATTATTCTATAATGACAGAATAGTTGAGAAATATGTGCAATAGTTAATTTCTACAGGGGTATAAATATACGGTTTTCAGAAATAAAAAGAAATGGGTAAAATGCTGTACACTCCTTCATAAGAAACACAACTGAGAATGTGAAGACAATTCCCATGCTGTGTGGATTACAATGCTGTCTCTTCTTTCTTTTTTTTTTAAATTTTCAGTGACAGATGCCCTCAGTGACTGAAGCTAGAATCTGTTAACTGCCATATGTGCTCTTTGCACCATTTCTGTCAATGAGGTATTAGCAAAAACCCAAACTGGAGAGCCATAAATGTTGTTCCTACTGATTTTCATGCAGTCAAGTAACCAACTCCTATCGAAGTTTTCAGGACCATCAAGTAATGTTGAAAGATTCAAAATGAAAAACTATGTAAGCACTTTTGAATAGGAGCAAATAAAAGTATAAGAATTGCTATTACTACTAGAGAAATTTCAGGTTTTGGTAATCAGGGAAAAAACTTTGACAAATTGGTACAGCAATGTAAGTGAGCTAGAATAAACAACAACAGCATTTTAAAACTGCAATACGTAGATCCAGCCTGATCCTTTAGTTGTAACACAGTTAGGTAAAAAAGGTTCTTTTGCTTTTACTAGCAGTATTTAAAGACATCACTAATGGTCCCATCAACATTGTGGCAAAGGAATCAGAGTTCTGAGGTTTCTGGGATTAACAGCAGAAGCATAATTTATTTTTATTTTTAGATACCAGAACATCACCAATCACATAGGTGCACAGATAAGCAGGGTGATATTCTAATGGCTGGAAAATATTTTAAATCAGATCTTGGGAATATCAGAATAAAACAAAACAAAAAAAATGTTTGAAAGCTTTTCTCTTAATGTCACAACCAATTTTGGTGATCCTTACAACAACTTACTCTTGTAAGATATTCCTTTGGGCAATGTTTCCGACAACCTCTACAATTATGTGAATTCTGCCTTCAAAAAAAAATGGCATAGGATGTTTCACACTAATTCTACAGCAGTTTTAATGGAGCTCATGTGGGAATACTCAAGCAAGCACTGGAAAGAAGTGCTACTCGCCCATACAATCTTTCCACACCAACCAATAGCTAAAATGGACCTGAGGCAAATTTGATTAAGAAATAAGGCACTCGTTCTTAACTGTTGAGTTTGAACAAGTTACCAAAGGAAGTCATGTGTTTGTTCATTACCCACGGTTCTCCCAGGAAGGCTGGATGTTTTCTTCTTTAACCAAACAATGGCTGTTGATATCAGTGCAGGGGTGTCCTGGTTGCATTTCAGAGCTTCAGGATGGTCTTAGGTACTATCAGACCTTAAAAAGTCTGCTTGAAATCATCACAGTTCTCTCTGTCACAGACACGCACACAACCACAACTAGTTAAAAAAGTAGCAATATGGTTGGTTCTGCTTTCTGTGTGCCAGGAGAGGTTCTAGACCAATACCTGATGATGTACCTATTCAGTACATTCATTCATATTTCACTCAAGTGCACTGGATCCCAGCCCCATTTAAATCGATGGGAATGTATTCCAGACTGCAGTGCAGCCAGAAGTTCATCAAGTCTCTCAAGCTGTAGCTACGGTGTTGAAGGTGCTTCTTTTTCTCATACCTCCTTGGTGCATAGGTCTGGAAGAGGGAAGGGAAAGCAAGCATGACGGAAATCCCTCAATGTAACTGCCTCTAAGGGAAATCGCAAGCTGCCAGTATTGTGAGCACCTTCAAGCCTCAGAGCTACAGCAGATCACCAATCTGCTTACTTCCAGCCCCACCATCATCACGCAAATCTGAATAACTGAACTCTTTTTACTTTTTTTTTTTTCTAGAAAGAAAAGATGGATTTATTTTTAAGCACAATTCTCTGACATACAGTGAATTCTGTTGCCTGAGTTTGTGACTAATAAACATCCTGTTAACAGTTGAACTGGAAATTAAGACAGCTGGCATGGCGCCTGCCTGGTCTGCACTCAGTGTATAGGTTTGACAGACTGAGGAGTGCAAAGAAGGTCTGTCCTCTTAGCCTGGCCTCCTTTGTCCCATTCATTACGCTCCTAGCTGTCATGCCGAGTGCTAATGGTCACAGCAACCCTAAATGTGACAGCAGAGTGTGTGGTTTTCTACGACCAGCACTTTCAACAGGCAGGCTGTATTCATGTAACCCCCAGCAGCAATTTTCTGTGTGAATTATATACCAGTGTGGAGGGTGGTGGTGGTGGGTTTTTGTTTGTTTTTTTTTTTTTGCTTTTAAATAGAGCTTCTAAATGTATTTTTGTGAGGCCAGCCTCAAATTAACACTTCTTTGCCGCAGCTTATCTTCCTGGAAGCTTCCTCCTCTGTGATATAAGCAAGGGAGGCAGCGGCGGGCCACGCTTTGTGAGCCGCAGACTTCATCCAGAGGGGATGGAGATGCGCACTAAGAGAGGCCTCGCAGGGAGGAGAGATGCTTTCAGCCCGGCAGCGAGAGCCACTTCTCTTCGAGCTCCCTCCACCGGGGACAGCA